CCCGTCGTGCGCCTCGGTCTGCGAGGGAAACGGCAGCCGTGAGCGCTGGGAGCTCCATGAGTTCGAGCTGCCGTATGGAAGCGAGCCAGTCGGCCCAGGCGCCTCCACCTGCTGGGAACAGAGAGTGAGCACCTGCAGGGACGTCGAGTGCAAGCCTCCGTGCGTCCGCCGCCAGCTGTTGAACCTGAATTGTGCCGTTGCGCCGTCGCCGACGCCGTTCGATACGTTGGGCGAGAGTGTGAATGCGGGCCCACCAGGACGCTGCCACGCCCCGCATGGGTCGGTCGCGAACATGGACTGCTGCATGGACTGGTCCCACCTCTTGGGAGGGCCCTGCAGCCCTGGAGCGAGCTGGCGCAGCAAGATGATGGTGTTCGCTGAGACAGCGTTCCGCCACCGACACCCATGCAGCGAAGCGACCACTGATAGCCAGGATATGGGGGCCGCCAGCCGCATACGCGAGCGAGGAGCGGATCGCTGGCCAGACGTCTTGAAGAGAGTGCGACAACCAACCGACCTGGTTCCGATGTTTGAGCCAAAGTGCTGACGGAAGAGCAAAAGACGGGGGAAGAAGCAGCAGGCGCAGAAGCAGTCGAAGTGGGACGGACGTCCGAGACGTCTCTGGCCAGAGGATCCTGGGCAGTGCCGTCGCTGGGGTGGGCCCGACGCTCCCTCGAAAGCTCGCCAACTTGAGACTCCTTCTCCAGAGGGCAAGGATACTGCACCTGTCTGCTGAGCACGTCGCGGGCGGGGGCCTGCTGCAAAGGTGGCCTCTCCACCTCATCCTCGGAGCGACTGATGCAAGGAGGAGCGGGTGCAACAAGAGGAGCATGCGAAAAACACGTTTCGTCGGCCCAGGGGTCTTCCTCCTCATCGTCAGGGAACCCCGAGCCAGAAACATCAGGATCAAAATCAAAAAAAACTCTCCGTCATCGCAGGCGCCGTCGAGTTCGAGAGGCCCGCCACCGTCGTCGGCAGCAGCAGGCCCCTCTCCCTCCTGGCACGGTCGCTGAGACGGAAAGAGATCAGAGAAGAGCGATGCACAGATCTCGCGCCTTTTCTCACGTGCGGACGCCACTCGAAAAAGCCTGCTGCTGCCTGGACCGACTAGACTTGGAGTCAGGCTGGGTGACAGGAGAGGGCCGGGCCATCTGAGGAAAACGAGGGGCCGTAGGCATGCTGCGCGCAATCATCTGCTTCCCTGAACTACGAAGTGCGACGCTCAAGCCGCAATGCGGTGCCCAGGACACATCCTGGACTGCGGAGACACTGACTATATAAGGAAGGCAGGCGGCACTGGCTACAACAAAATCGATGTGGGAATCGCCGCTGCCGCCCACCTGAGTGCACTGCACTGGGGCTTTGATGATGTGCCCCTGTATCTTGTCTAAGAAGGAAGAGGTGCGAACGCGTTCGACATCGATGTTCCAATCACCGACCACCATCCACGGCATCTGGAGGGTCCTCAGGAAGGAGCCGAGCCTCGAATACCGCTGGGTATTGCAGCCAGAGAATCCAACCGACGGGCGGCCGTAGAAGGTGACGAGAACGAAACTGAACCCTTGCTGATGCAGAACCACAGGGAGGAACCCATCGAGCTGATCGTGCCCATCAGCACAGAGATGTGTAACCTCGGTTGCGGTCTCGAAGAGGCGATGAAGATAACGGTGACCTTGGGCAAGAACGAGTTCCCCTCCTTCGTTCGCCCGATCACGAGCTGCACGGGTGGTGCCACGGCCTGTGGGCCCGGCGCCGTTGTCGATGAACTTGAGCTTCAGTCCGCGGGCCTTGTTGACCCACTCGTCCCGAGTGCGTCCGCAGACGTGAGTCTCAACTATCCCAAAGTAAGTGCATTCTTGAAGTCGCTGACGATCCGTGAGAAAACCCCAAGCTCTTTGGCCAAGACACGTGACGTTGGCAAAGAACAGCTTGCTCACATCAGGGTCAGCTGTCTCCTCGCATGCAGGCGCGGCGAGCGGCGGCACTGGCGCTGCCCCCCCCAGCGCTGTCGCCGCGGCTCGCCGCGGGGCCTCACTGGCCGCCTGCGCCTGCAGCCTTCTGCCTCTGCGCCTCCTGCGCCGCAGTGGCCGCCGCCAGCTTGGCTGCGGAGATCCGCGCGGCCTCCGCTGCAACCTGGTCAGGGGTGGGCCCTGACGGCGCTGCCCGACTGCTTGCTGCCGCTGCCGCAGGGGCGGGCGCCACAGGAGGTGCAGCACCGTCTCCTGCCGAGGGCCCATCCTCAGCAGCCTCCCCTGCAACACGCCGCTTCTTCTTCATGCGGCCCTGCATGGCCGCCTGGATTGCTAGCGCCTCCTTGCGCCAGGAGGCGAGCTCCGCCGATCTCTGCGTGAGGTTGTCCTTGGCCTCCCGCAGCTCCTTCTCGAACTTATCCAGCTTCTCCAGCTCCGCGGGGTCGCAATCGAGCTCGCGCAGCTCGGTGAAGAAGCTGGGGCCCCAGTGGAGCTCGATCAGGTCGCCCTTCTCGGAGGAGGCTGGCCCTGCGCTGACTGCACCTTGGCTGCTGCTGCGGCCTGCAACTCCGCTGCCGCCGCTGACTGCCTCGTGCAGGACTTGAGCCGCCAGCTTCCGCTGAAGCTCGGCCTCCGCTAGGTAGGTGGCCATCTCCTGCTCCTTCTGCTCGGCCTTCCGAAGGTTCTCTCTGCACCGCACCACCTGGTTGACCGCCTGGTCGTGCTTGGTGCTCGCGTCGCGCCAGGCGCCTGCGGCCTTCCGCACGGCGTCCTCCGCCGAAAGGGCGGCTGGCGGAGCAGCCTGCTGCGCAGCCTGCGCCGCGCGGGCCGCCTGCGCCGCAAGCACCTTCTTGACCTCGGGATCGTCGGTGGCTGCCAGCGCCTGGGCTAGAAGCGATTCCAAAGAGGAAGACGACGAGCCTGATGGAGGTGGAACAGACATGGCCAGCGCACTCTCCGAAGTTGTCGAAGTGTTCCTGGCATCTGTCTTCTGGCCCTTGGACTTGTAGAGTTTGACTGGTCGGTTGCAGCCCCGACATTTGCAGGCCTGGGAAACGAGAACATCATTGTATTCATGACGTCCACAACCTGCGCATGTCGACCAAGCCCGAGGAGCCCCTGGAGAGAATTCCCCCGCCTTAGTCATCGCGACTGACTGTTCACTGAAACTGGGAACGGGAAGCGCGATGTCCCTCAAGCCCCACGTGGAGGGGGCGGGGTGGAACCGAGTGCCCTGTGCAAATGCGGACTCGGGCCCGTTGCTTGAGGAGGAGGAGGAGGAGGAGGAGGGAGAGGAGGAGGAGGAGGAGGAGGAGGAGGAGGAGGGGGAGGAGGAGGAGGCCTCCGTGGGTTTCCAAATGCCCAACGACGTCCTAGCTGGCCATGAGGATGGAATCTCCGGACGTCAGATTTGCCCACGATCTGGAGACTGCATCGGGCCGAGCCGGCATGAAGTCGGAGTCGAATCGGATCGGATCGGCCGCGCCAGGAACTGCTGTTGCACAAAAGACGCAAGAAAAAACGCCTGGTGCGAGTGCAGCGCTTGCCCCTGGAATCTCCTGGATACCCGGCAAGGGTGCGGAGATTTGGGGGCAGACAAGCCTAGCACGTCTGGCCCCCCCCCGGTAGTGTTACAAACCAGCCTCGACCTTCTCCCTACGTACCCCCAAGATCAGCAACCCCAAAGACGATGACAATCTTGGAGATATGCCTCAGAAGCTAAGGAAAACCCGCAACCACGGCACTGAGGGAAGGTGCTGTCAAGCTCAGGAATCGGGATATGCTTCAGGCTCCTAAGCGACAGCCGCGAGGTCATCCACTGGGCGACGGGCTCAAAGTATCCGCCCCCAGCTCAGGCCGAGGAGGAGGAGGAGGAGGAGGAGGAGGAGGAGGAGGAGAAAGACGAGGAGAAAGACGAGGAGAAAGACGAGAAGGGAGGCGGGACTAGGATGGAGGCGGGAGGAGGAGGAGGAGGAGGAGGAGGAGGAGGAGGAGGAGGAGGAGGAGGAGGAGGAGGAGGAGGAGGAGGAGCAGGGCGCAGTTCCGGGTCGGCACGCCCCCGGGCAGCGCCGCAGAGGGCAGACGTCCCGCACCCGTGCACGGCAGGTCGCGCCCGCACCCAGGCGCACCCCCTTCGGCCCCCGCGCCCGCCTGCCCTCTCGGCCTCTTCGTCTCCCATGGTTGCTTCGCCGCAAGGAGTTTGCACGAAGGATTGCAAAAAAAACCAAGATTGCAAAAAAAAAAAAAAAACAAAAAAAAAAAAAAAAAAACGGAGGATTGCAAAAAAAGATTGCAAAAAAACCCTTCGTAAAAGGGTTGTTTTTGCAAAACCCCGGGGTTGTTTTGCAATCCTTCGAAAAAGGGTTTTTTGTTGCAATCCTTCGTTGGGGTTTTTGTTGCAATCCTTCGGGTGTTTTTTGCAATCCTGGGTTTTTTGCAATCCGGTGTCCAAGCAAAAAAAATCGAAAGACAAAGCCCCCCCAGTCCCTCTGGAATTTTCCCAGAATCTCTGGCATCGGATTGCCCGTACCAGAGTCACGCGTGAGAGAAGGAAATCACCTGATCCATATGTTCCTTCCCCTCCCCCTCCCCCTCGTCATCATCATCACTATCAGCATCACCATCACCACCATCCTCATACTCATCATATATATACAGAGAGAGAGATCCTCCTCATCATCATCAAAAACCGAATCATCATCACCCGCATCATCATCAACAGCATCATCATCATCATCATCATCATCATCATCATCATCATCATCATCATCATCATCAGCATCATCATCATCATCATCATCATCATCATCATCATCATCATCATCACCCGCATCATCATCAACAGCATCATCATCATCATCATCATCATCATCATCATCATCATCATCATCATCATCATTATCATCATCATCATCGTCATCATCATCATCACCATCACCATCAGCATCAGCATCATCATCATCGCTTGGAAGTCGAATCAAACAAAACTGGCATGTCGACAATCTCACACCCATACCCAATCCGACGATCCTGCAAGCTCGCCGTGAAGTTGGTAGCTATTGTCCCGGCTTCGTCCCGCCGTCCGGGCACGTGACCTGGAACAGGGGGCGGAGGGCGCCACGCGGGCCGCCGCCCCACTCAAGAAGGAGGTTGGGGAGGACGGGACGGTGGAAGCCGACCAGATGGGAAACCTGGAATCACCAAGAAAAAATAATTCGTAGCATGGTAATTCCAGGTCCCTATCATTCCGAACTGTGGAAAACCAATAGCTGGACGACTGGCACCCGAATTCGCCTGCTCTCGTTCGTGCTACGAGCCCTCCGACACACCCCGGCCAGTGTGACACATTGTCAAAGCGGTCTCACACTGTCGTAGAAAGCGACACGTCCCCTCACCCTGATCCGCAACGCCAACGGAGGTCCGCGCGGATTACCTGGATCGGCGCTGGGCCCCTCCAGCGTCGCCTCTGGCCCCGCCACCGGCGCTCTCTGCGGACACGACAGGGGGGCCAGCACCGATCCAGGAAACCTGCGCGGACCTCTGTCGCAACCCTCTCTTTTCATCCCGCTTTCAGCGGACACTCCGTTGGACAGCTCTGCTACAAGGAAGGGGTCGATTCCCCCCAACGCTGCCGACCCCAACGTTGCCGCGCAATTCCGGGTTCGATTGTGGCTCTTTCGAGAGAGAGGACAAAATTGATTTGCACTTTTCCTCACAAGATACGCCAGTCCCATTTGTCCAATAACCATTTGGGAAAAGACGTCTCCGCGAATTTACCGGAAAGCCCTCGCAAGTAGCGAAGATAATCACGAGAAGGGCCATCTGCCAAGTTTGCGTTGGACTCTACTCCCCCCAACTAGAAGGATATATCACGGGAAATCATGTCTAACCACGTCATGCCTGCGACAACATTCAACTGTGGAGCGCGGGCGCTCCCGTTGATTAGCGCATGGAGCACGCCATCGTTGTCAATGGATTCCATGAGCATGGCCTCCTCGATGCCAAAGCTGTGGTAACCGAGGACAAAACCAAGGAACTCCAGACCTGTGGAGGGACAGTAGCTCGCGTCCACAACCAGGTGCACTGCGCCCCTGGCTCGTGCAGCGCCGCCACGGCTGCTGTACACCAGGATTCCCCCGCCGCATCTGTTAACATCGCAACGCTATGCCTCCTGAACACCTCCGCAAACCGTCGGCGTGGACGGCGCAACGCGAGGCGACGCTGCCAGGAAAAGTTTGGCTCTCCCCAGCAACGTGGGCAAGCCGGGAACAGGCGCAAAGGCATTCGCAAAGTATGGTTTGGCGAAGGCCCTGCCTACATGGCATTTCGACGATGTCCTGGCCGATCCAAGTCTCACCGCCGCGCGGATAGCCTCACGCGGTTGAACGCGGCCAAGTTGAAGCTGAGTTTCGAGGTCGCTGAACCGCATCCTGGTTTTGTCCAGAGACGCGGCTGAAGAAACTGTTCCTTCTCCCAAGTAACCTTCACAAACGTGCCAAAGACAGGTAACGCCAAAGACCTGCCCGCGTCTGGTGTCGGATCTGGAAGAACCTCAATTACCAACCAGCCCCCCTGCCATGCCAACGCCCACCCGCGACGCACCGAAACAATCGTCTACGTAGCGGAAAGCTGGCGCTCGAAACTTTACAAGGACCACGCGCCTGACGACGCCCCTAACCTACCCCACGCTGCATTCGCAAATGACGCTCCGAACATCATCCCAAAATGGCGGGCGCACCACATATTGCCGTTCCGAATGAAAACGAACTCAGAACAGTCCTCGTGCTCATCAGATGGAACTGGCCTGTACGCTTTGGACACATCACGATTCCACGCACGAAGTTCCACATGATGGCGGAGAAACTAAAGAACCGCCGCAACAAACTCCTCTATGCCATCGCGCCGTGCCTTGTCAAAGATGAAGATTGCCTCGCCTCGCCCTCCTTCCGTCGCATCGTCAATCGGCATGGCGCGCCACCCTTTCAGGCGTTCTTCCCTTTCGGGAAAACGCCTCGCTCGGGTTTTTTGATCGCACTCTGTCCAAAGTTGGGAGTTGAGGGCTCGAAAACCATCCTTCCCGAGCGTCCTCCTAGGCAAATGCCTTGAGATCGTTGCCCCGCTCGCTGGGCCGCATCTGCGCTATGATTCTCATGTTCCTTACCAGGCGCTATCTCCGCAGCTGATCTACCTCCAGGGGATTCCACGTCGGCTCGCCGCCCGGTCTCGCGTCTGGGCCGCAGTAGGGAAGTCGCCCGACGAATGGGAAGCCCCTCAAAAATCCCATTAAAGATGGGCCCAGCACCCCGCAAGTCAACTCAGCATGCGAAGAGTGCAACAACGGATCATTCAATTTCTCGGCAACAGGATTACGCGAGGAATCTGGCCGTTGACAGTGATGCTGATCATGCGCGCAGCGGACCGCTCGATGCTCAAACTCCCTGAACGCCGACAAACGGAAACTATAGATGTCGGTTGCACCGCACTCGCGCCCGCTATCGAAGGCCACCCGAACCCGATCATGGAGGGCGCTTTGCAAAGCACCTTTTTCGCCCGGGCGCCGCGCCCCGAGTGCGAAAGCGACGTGCCCCCAGGCAGAAAGCCCTTTCGGGGCCCCGATATTGGGAGACGGATCCACGAGGTCAGCTTGGGTAAAGCACAGCCAAGGCGAAGCGTCGTCTCGCCTCCACTGCCTGCCCCGGCGGCCTCAGAGACCGAAGTGGCTAGTTACCAGCACCCACCACCTTCGCCACCTTCTTGTTCGCCAGGAAGTCGACGAACTTCTTGCACTTGTTACTGACGTAGCCCTCACCTTCAACCCACTGGTAATTCGCTTCATCTCCTCCTTTCTTCCCTTCACCTCCTCCGCAGCCCTTCGAGTCGCCGCGCTGCCCACGCAACCAAACCTGCTGCTGCCAAACAGGCTGAGCTCTTGCTGGTAAAACGAAACAGATTTGGATGCCTCGTCCGTCCTCATCTGGATGGCGTCGGCCGCCGCGCGCTGCTTGGCCAACGCTGCATCTCAGGACTCTGGCAAAGCGGCCGAAAAGCTGGAAGACGGCAAAGGCCCGCTCGCAGACTTCAAGCCTGCCTGCACGAGCACAACATCAAAGCGCAAAGTAACTGCCTCCAAAATCGTCTAGTCGATGGCGCGGAGAGATTCCTGGACGCCCAACTCCGGCTCTGACATGGCCGCTCTCTTGGCCAACTGCCTCTGGGACAGGTCGTCGCACAAGATCACCGGGAACTGGCCGCGCAGGATGGTCATGTTCTGCTCCGCAAGCCCCGCCAACTCGTCCACGTAGCAGACTACAGTCGCTCAGGCGTGATGGCCCGTGTCCACCGCTGCCACGGCGCACCTGTCAAGCGCTGTCGCCCGATGCACGAGCGACCAGAAATAACGGCGGGTTGCCGTCGCACCCCGCAACGTATTGGTTCGTTGACCTAGCGTCGCGACGGAGGTCGAGGGATCGCGCTGCGCTCCCCCTTCGCCTCCTGCGAGCGCCGTGCCCCCGATTGTGTCCGAGTGAAGCCAAAGTGGGGGCACCTCCTTGGCTGCGACGTCTAGGTATGAGAACGATTTCCGCTGATCCCCATCAGCGGCCACGCTCTCTGCGCGCAGGGCCCGCCACGCCAGCGCCTCGGCCTGCAGATGGCACGGGGGCCCTGTCGAGCCCCGCTTTGGTCAGCTTCTCTGCAACGCTCACTTTGCCGGGGGTTCTTCCTAGTAGTTTGGCCACCGCCTCGGCCGAACACTCGGACTCAAACACGTCCAGCACATCTTGCTGCAAGGCTTGGCGGAGTGAGTGCTGGGCGTGCTGGGTAGGAACAGACGCAGCAGGTGCCGTTGTGGCACCGCTGCTCTGCTGCTCCACGTTTGCTAAGCGAATTGCTAGGCGCGCTAAGCCTAGCACGGGTAGGGGCAATTCCGTCTTCACGTCGCTCTCTTTCAGGTCAACTCTTGGCCCAGCTCGGAGACGTGGTTTTCCGTGAAGTACGCCTCCGTCGCCTTCAAGATCTCGCTCGTCGGCCCCTTGGCGTCCACAGAATTGAGGAAGACGTTCAACGTTACCTCTGCCACGGGTCGCCCGAGCAGACTCTTGAACCAGCTTTCGTACAAGACTTGTGTGAGCCACCCGAACAGAAATTGCTACGGGTCCGCTCGCGCCAGGGAAGGAGATCCTCCATCTCCGTGGGCCCGTTCCTCACTGGGGACGGGCGTGAGCCCCGGGTGCAACAGGGACCGGGTCAAGAGCTCCAGAAGCGAACAACAACGGAGCGGCGAAGCGCGGCACCCAGAGCTCCTCGCTCCCACCGGAGCCACACTCCCGTCCGCTCGGGGCTCGCCGATGCACGACCGGAGGGGGGAGAGGAGGGGGAGGCAGAGAAGAGGAGACCAACAAATACCCTCACGGGACCGGCCCACGCTCATCCTCTCCACCAGGCGGCAGTGGCGCCACTCGCCCCTGCTCCCCCCAGTCGCCCACCGACAGCACGAACTCCCTCAACCTCATTTGGGCCAGCACCCAACAAGTTGGATTCCCGTCAGATGGGGGCAGGAAAGCCGATGGGTCGGAGAGCCCCCGCCAACGGCACAGCCCCGCACGCAGCATTCACGCTCTCGGAAGCCAGGAACGCGCTCGAATGTGTGGATGGCAGACACATGTTCGGGAGCGGAGCAGAAGCACCGAACACGAAGAATCAGCGGGGGAGGAAGAGGGACGAGGAGGAGGGAGGAAGGAGCAGCAGCAGCAGCAGCGGGAGGGGAGGAGGAGGAAGGGGAGAACGAAGAGGGAGAGTAGGAGGGAGAGGAGGAGGAGGAGGCGGAGGAGGAGGAGGAGGAGGAGGAGGAGCAGAGGAGGAGGAAGGGGAGAGGGAGGAAGAGGGGGAGCGGGGGGGGGCACGCTGACCGAAGTGGATTGTGCGGCGACTGCGGGCATTGCAACGGCTGGGATGCTCCCTAGACCCATGAAGCTGATTGACTACAGCCACCTGCTGATGCCGCCATTTGCAATGCGTCTTCAGATGAAATCTCGTTTGGTCCACACAGCCCCAACTACTCAACAGAACCAATAACACCCCTGTTTTGAACGATCCA